AATCTTCATTATTGGAAGAGATGTTGTTAAGTAGTCTCCTTCTCAAATTCCATTTGGAAATGTTAAAAATAGAAAAGCCTCCAGTTAATCACTAAACTGTGCAGCCAATGGGCAACAAATGTTATTTCCAGAGTTAACATCACTGATGATTGAGGTTCACTCAGAATTAGAGTTTGAGTCATGAGTGTCTATATTTTAAAGCTGACTCTTCCACTGACTGATTAGCTAGGCTTGGTTAAAGTGTTTCATGTCTTTCTTTACTCCATTTTATCATTTATCATTTGGGTTTGCAAAATGGGGATGTCACTACAGGAAGTTTTGTTTTGTTTTTTAAGGATGAGTTAATGTTTAAACTTGGAAAGTTTCTCCAGAAGTTGGTGTTCCCTCACCCTCCCATAACTTTGTGTTTATTTTGTGATTGCTTTTCAGTGTACAGTTTGCTCCCAATCCAAACAATAGAATGTAAGCCCCTTGAGGGCAAGGAATATTTCGTTTTTGTCTTTATCATCAGCACAGGGCCTGGCATAATAGCAAGCACCTTATACATCAGATCATTGCTCTAGGGCTGAAAAGGACCTTGGCCATCCAGGCCGAGGGTTCTTACCATGGGATCCATGGATCCATGGATCTCAGGGGGATCTGTGAACTTGGACAGTAAAAAAAAAAACCCAAAAACCCCATCATTTTAATTTTCACTAGCCTTTGGTTTCCTTTGTAATCCTGAATCCTTTATTTTATGCATTTAAAAACATTATTCTGAAAAGGCATCCATAGACTTCCCCTCCTTTGCCTGCCAAAGGAGTCCATGACACAAAACAGGTTAAGAACTCTTGATCTGCACTTAGTAGTTCTGTGACCCTGGGCAAGTCACTTAACTTCATTGACTAATCAAAAAAACAGTTAAACAAAACACTTGATCTAGTCCAATATCAAGGAGTAAATTGAGGCACAGAGAGGAAATATAATAATAATAGCGAACATTTATATAGCTCTTACTACGCCCCAAGCTCTTTACAATTATCTCTTTTGATCCTTGCAACAACGCTGGGAGACAGGTGCTATTATTACCCCCATTTTACAGATGAGGAAACTGAAGCAAACATAGGTTAAATGACTTGCTCAGGGTCACAAAACTAATTAGTGTCTGAGGTGGGATTTGAACTCAGGTCTTCCTGACTTCAAGCCAGAAGCTCTACCCACTGTCACCTACCTCTCTTAATGATTTAGTCAAGGAACAGGTGGTAAATAGCAGAGCTGGGCCTTAAGTCCAGGATTTCTGACTCCAAATCTAATGTTCTTATCAATATGCTATTTAAAAATGTTTATTAAGCTGAATTGAATGGAAAGGGAACATACTATTATTATTGATCCCGGTGGATAAAGGAGTGAATACAACGGAAAAGGCTTGGTTGATTTCACATTGTTTTGAAAACTGAAATGAAAACAGATCAAGCCAAATGCTTAGATTCTTGGCATTGTGTTGTCCAAATAAAACCTCTAGAATCGATAGAAAACGTATTTCAAGTTTCCAAACTACATAATTCACTTCTCACCCTCAAAACACTTGTGACTTCATTGCTGTGGGGATTTCCCACACCTGTGTATTATAATAACCCTACCCCCCGCCCATGTCCACCCCCGCCCATGTCCACCCCCACCATGTCTACACACAAGCACATATTTTAGTAGAAGTTTCAATGAGCTCATGAGATCATAGTTTTGGAGCTGTAAGGTATTTTAGAGGTCATCTAGTTCAACCCTCATCATTTTACAGATGAAGAAACTGAGGCCTGTGGAGGAAAATTGATTGACCAGGTTACTTATCCAAGTGACAAATAACATAGCTAGGATTCTAACACTGGTGCCCTGACTTAAGATCCTCTAATCTTTCCACGGCACCAGGCTACTTTAATCCTGGAAAATTCATTACCTAGTTGCTAAAGCCTTTGAATGTGTGGATCACAACAAAATGTGGCAAGTCCTTAGAGAGATAGGAGAACCAGATCAGGTTACTTGTCTCCTGAGGAACCTGTATGGGGGGTCAAGAAGCAACAGTTAGAACCGAATAAAGAACAACTGCTTGGTTCAAGATTGGGGGAAAAGTATAACAAGACTATATATTCTCACCTTATTTATTTAACTTATATGCAGAGTATATCTTGCAAAATGCCAGGCTGATGAATCAAAAGCTGGAATTAAGGTTGCTGGGAGAAATATCAACAATCTATGCAGGCGATACTACTCCAGTGGCAGAAAATGAAGAAGAATTAAGAAGCCTCTTGATGAGGGTGAAAGAGGAGAGTGTAAAAGCTGGCTTGAAGCTTAACATAAAAAAAAGAAAAAATTAAGATGCTGGCATCTTGTCCCATTGCTTCCTGGCAAACAGAGGGAGAAGAAATGGAAGTAGTGTCAGATTTTATATTCTGGGCTCGAAGATCACTGCAGATGGCAAATGTAGCCATGAAATTAAAAGACGCTTGCTCCTTGGAAGGAAAGCTATGGTAAATCTGTACAGCATACTAACAAAGGTCCTACTGTTAAAGCTGTGGCTTTTCCAGTAGGAATGTATGGCTGCAAGAGTTGGGCTCTAAGCTGAGCAGTGTAGAATCGACACTTTTGATTTGTGGTGCCAGAGAAGACTTTTGAGAGTCCCTTGGACAGCAAGGAGATCAAATCAGCCTATACTTAAAGGAATTAATTCAGACTAGTATTGGAAGGACAAATACTGAAGTTAAAGCTGAAATGCTTTGGCCACATAATGAGAAGACAGGACTCATTGCAAAGGCCCTAATTTGGAAAAGGTTGAAGGCAAAAGGAAAAGGGGGCAGAGGATGGGATGGAGAAATAGTGTCACGGAAGCAATGAACGTGAGCTGGGACAGACTTTGAGAGAGAGTGGAGGACTAAAGGGCCTGGCATTCTGTGCAGGGAGTCACAAAGAGTTGGAAGTGACTGAACAACAACAATCTTCTTCGGATGAACTTCTCTAAATTTTGCTGGGCTGGTCCTCATATGGCAGATACGCAGTCTATTGTTGAGTAGTACTCCAAGCCTTTCCAGGCTAGTGCATCATGCCAGAAAGAACCCATAGACAGTCACCTGCATAGACTGCCATGAAGTGTTTGAGTATAATTCTTTAGAAGAATTAAGAAGAAATAAAATTAGAGATATTATTATATAGAATAAGTATTTGAATGATATCATTGACACCAATTGCAACAATAGTATAACATTTATATAGCACTATTAGGTTGTGAGTTTTTCTTCTACTGTTTCCTTTGACTTGCATCTTTCATGGAAAGTTTGATGCCAGGGCTGCCAACTGCCAGAAACTATCAATTATGACACCTGGGGCAAGTAAACATCAGAAAACATGCCAAAGAAAAGTATCGAACCAACTTTCAGAGACAAGTAGCATCTCTAGGAGGATGTATTGCATTTTTATGTTCATGAACTACAAAAATACTGTGCAAAAGACCCCAGGATACCTTAGGGAGGGCAGGGGTCTCTTAAGTCACATGCCCCTTTGGGAGTCTGGTGAAGCCTATAGACTCCTCAGAATAATGCATTAAAAAAATACATAGGACTACAAAGTAAACCAGTTACACTGACATATATATATATATATATATCACAATATTTTTTTATTTTATTCTTATTTTTAAGATTCAATTTATATAAAATTTTGAGAAATAAATTTTCTCCCTGCTTCTCTTCCCTCCCCACCCCACCCTTAGATGGTAAGCAATTTGTATACAGGATATGTATGTGTGTGTGTGTGTGTGTGTGTGTATACACATAATCATCTAAAATATATCTCTGTATCAGTTGTGTTGTGTCACAGTATTTTAAAAATGAGTTCAGAGACCCCAGCTTAAGGACCAATTTTAAGAATACGACTATAGCCATAAAATAAGTCTAAATGCAAGCACCTTCATTTCTGTGATCATTAGGGGTCCCAAAAATGCAGAACTGAGCTGTTTGGGACCATCAAAAGGATTGAAATCAACTCAACAAAGCAATTATTAAGTACCTACCATATGCAGGTTCTGGGAAGAAATGAATTATAGATTAAATATGGAGTTTATATAACTCATACAAAGATGGCTAGAATGAATAATATGACATGTAAGCTCACTAGAGAAATGAAAAAGCAAGACTGAGCAAAAGTTCATTATGAATTAGAAGTATTTCAATTAAGCTTTAAATCCTAGTAGTAATTTAATGGGTGAAGAGAGAGAGAGGAATTCTAAGCCTAAGGAAGAGCTTGAGCGAAAGCCCCTCTGGAGGCAGAAAGGGCAGATTGGGAAGAGGAGAGAGTAGTCCAGATTGTTTAGAATGCAGAATCTGTAGCTAGAGGTGTCTTGAGAAAAAGCTGGGAAAGTATGGTGTTGCTACAATGTTGCTGGCCTTGAAAAAACAGGCAAAGGTCTTTTAAACAATGTGGTAAAGTATATTAAAAAAAAAAAACATCTCCGCCATCAAAAAATGAAAAAGAAAGCAAGAAAGGGACCGAGGTATATATGCATTATTTTTCCTGCAAAGCATTACATAACTGATAATTTTGAAAGCATGGTATCCTATATTTTATCAAAAATAAAAATATATCTTGTAATATGTTAGTAGGATAGATGATATCGATTGGTTTATAACACTTAAAATAATGAAAATTATGTGTTAAAATTGCATAAATGGAAAATAGGCAAAAGAGTTTGATTTCGACTCAGTAGGCACGTCCTGACATTTACATCCCCTTAGTGGAAACCTGCTGAAATTCTTCAAGTGGGATTGAGCTGGATCTGTAGAACAGAACCATCTCCTAAACCTAGCTTTCGTTCATTTATCTTGATTGAAATTGAAGTGAATGGAATTTAGTCTAACTGTACCCAGCCCTTTCTTGTACAGCAAAATGTTTTTAGGTTCAAACTCAGAGGATAGAAACAAAGTCTTCTGAGGATGAGTGGTACAGACTACAAACTCCTCCTTTTATCTCTCTTCCAGATGTTTCCCTGAAATTCCAAAGCTTCTAGATGGCCCATGACACAGATTTTTCTACCTTCTGAAGCAGAACTGTGGAAGGGGTGCCCTGGGGACTGTCTGGTCTGTGTCAGTGTGTAAAGACTCTCTTCTCAAAGCTTTATGATGGTCCAGTCTCCACACAGCCTGGCACTTGAATCTAAAATTCATTGCTCCCTAGATCTTGCAGTTCATAGCTTTTAAAAGAGGCAAAGTCAGAAGAAGGAAAGGGAAAACAGCACTTCTCCTCCATATATTCTAATTCTTTCTGAAGCACAAGGCTGCTTAATTCAAGGAAGTTTATTAAAGAACCTATTACGTGCAAGGTACTGGGAAGAGTGGGACAAAAACAAAACATTCCCTTCTCTCAAAAACCTCAACTTTCTGCTAGGTAATACAATATACTACAGATAAGTAAATACAAGGTAATCTGAGAAGGGAGAGAATGCTAACAACTAGCCAGAGAGAGGGATTGAAGTGGAGATTAGTAAAGACTTCAGAAAAGACTTGAGGAAAGAGAAGGATTCTGAGAGGTGAATGTTGGGGGTGGGAGGTGGGGAGGAGGAAAGCATTCCAGGCATAAGGGACAGCCTATGTGAATGCATGGAAAATGGAGGTGACAAATCTAGTTCTCTGAATAGACAGTGGTTCAGTTTGCCTGAAAGACAATGTGGTAATAAAAAAAAATAATTAAGCTGTATAGGTATGTGGGAGACAGACTACGGAAGGACTGCAAGGGCCAACCTAAGAAGTTTGTAGTTTATCTGATATACAATATGGCATCCTTAGAGATTTTTGAGTAAGGGAATGACATGGTCAGAGCTGTGACTTAGGAAGACTATTTTGGTAACTTTGTGAAGAGTCAGATGTAGGCAAAGAGACCAATTAGGAGGCAATTACAGTAGTCTAGGTGAAAGGTGGTTAAGGTCCAAGGCTGGGTGGTGGCTCTATGATCAAAGAGAAGGGTATGGAGATAAGACATATGGCAGGGTAGAGTTGACAGGACTTGGTAATTGATTGAATATGGTGTGAATATGGGTCACCAGAGTGAAGAAAAGAGGATGATTCCAAGGTGATGAACTTGAGCGACTGGGAGAATGATGATACCCTCGATGGAAAGAGGCAATTGGATGAGGGACACGTTTAGGGAAGAAGTAAGTTGAGCACATTTTTCAGTGTTGAGTTTGTGATGTTGCCTAGATATCCAGGCAAGGATTCCAAAGAGCAGTTATTGATATGGGACTCAAGTTCAAGAGAGAGAGATGAGAAAGGGAAAATATAATTTGGGAATCATCTGCCTAGGGATGAGACATTATTCCACTCGATCGTTAGTTTTTACTTCTAATACATTAAACATTCCTTCTAGAAAGGGCTGATGACTAAAAATACCCGTAACGTTCTGCCCTTTGTGTACTGACCCACCCACTAGACAAGTACTTTTAGTTCTTTTCGGGGCAGAGGCGATAGGTTTATGCTGATCCGCCTCCTACATTAATTCTAGCAGTAGTAATGCTTTTGAAAAGGAACATGATACCGAAATAACTCCCAGGCCAAGAGTGCCATGAGGGGTCATGGGGATGAGGCAGAGGATGTCAGGCACAGGAGCGCTAAAAATAGCGAGATGGAGATCAAAGCACCAAAGGCCATGAGAAACCTTTTTTGGCCTCAGCAAATGGGCTGGCTTCTGCCTGCTTTGCCCATCCCTCAAACTGGAGCCAAGAGCTCAGAAGAATGGGGTAGAAGGGGACCAGTGACTTGTTGCCGTATGTTTTCATTTCTGATTGTGGAGCACTGTCAAAATGATCCTAAGAGGGACATAAGTGATAAGAACAAAACTTTCCGAGAAGTTGCTGTTAATGGAAAGTTGGACTTTGCCTTTTTCTATTGTTAAATCAAGTCCATTAGATTGTAAGCTCCTTGAGGGCAGGGACCATCTTTTGCCTCTTCTTGGGTTCCCAGTGCTTAGCATGGTGCCTAGCTCATTGAATTGAAGTCAACAAGCATTTATTAAGTGCCTACTTAGGCGGGTCACTAAACTTGGTGAAGCCTTAGCTTTCCCATTTACAAAATGGGGATAATTAGGGGGGTCACTAAACTTGGTGAAGCCTTAGCTTTCCCATTTACAAAATGGGGATAATGATATTGATACCACCTAGTTTGGTGTAATGGAAAGAGCACTGGAGAGACTTGGGTTTGAATTCTGCCTCCAAGACATAGCCAATGTAAGCCACTTTTTGGTCCCTTTAAGCCTCAATTTCCTCATCTTTAAAAAAAAAGAGGGTAATACTCGTACCTACCTCACAGAGCTGTTGAAAGGCTCCATTGAGATGCTGCATGTCCAGTGCCTTTTTAAAAGTAAGGTAGTATATAAGTAGATCTAATGAGATAACATATGTAAAGCATTTATGAACCTTAAGGCATGATATAAATTCTAGCTATTATATCAGCTATTATTGTTCTTGAGAGACAGCATGGTATAATAGAGAGAAGGTCAGTCTTGAGAATCAGGGAGACAGGTTCAAGCCCCACCTTTGATACGTATTGACTGAGTGACCCTAGTGCCCCGAGCCAACTTTCTAAAACCAGAAGTTTCAGAGGATATTCTGGTCTGCATTAGTAGAGGGAAAACACACCGGATGGACTGCTGATTCTGCCCTGGTGGAAGAAGCCTGCATAGTGCATATCCTGCAATAAAGTCACAGATCTTAACCAAAAAGCAGTGCCCATCAAGAATCATCATATTTTCTAGTTTTCCTGTCTTCGTATCTTATCCTTTTGCCAGACCTGAGGGCAGAGATTATACATTATCTAAACTTTGTATATCCCTAGTGTCTAGCAGGAAGTTCTACACGTGTTAGAGGCTTAATAAATGCATGTTGTGTTGTATCAAGCCCAGACAACCCACCTCCATATGACAAAGGGAACAGCCAGGTTTTTAGTCTCATTTGTTCATTAAATAAATACTTATTCAGTACCTACTGCATGCAAAGCACTTATAGTATGGGGCCACTTACTCCATTTTTTTTCTTAAACCTTGCCTCTGATTTCTTTTGTATGAGAAGCTCTCAGTGAGGATCTGACCCATAGCTTGTCTTTCTTTTACTGTCACATATTCCCATGAATATTGTGCCAGGAGACACCAGAAAGAAGGGGCATGGTTTATGGGAAGTAGCGCAATAGAATGGAAGGAGTGTTAGAGTTAGAGTCACAGGACCTGGGTTTCAGCTCTGTCTCTTACTACCTGTTTTACCTTGGACAAGAAACGTCACTTCTGTGGGCTTCAGTTTCCTCATCTAGAAAATGAGGGGATTGGACTCAATGACCCCGAGATCCTTTCCATCTCTAAATCTAGATTCTGTGATTCCATAACCTTTTGGGGGTTGGAGCTAGGCGGTTTGGGTGAGACAGTGTCATAGAGTGAGGAGAAGTAATGAGGTTCAGTGAGTGGCACTATGAGATATCAGAAGAGGCAAGATGGAGGAATGAGGGGGAGCGGGCAAAAGAGAAAATGAATTATCATGGGAAGAGTTCTAACATGCCACCTCCGCCATTCCATTTCTTCATGTAATTTGGGTCAAGTCACCACTCTTCTAGAAATTTCTCATCTATAGAATGAGCTTCATAGGCTAGATATAATCATACAAGCATTTATATAGTGCTTCAAGGCTTGCAAAGTTACTTCTTCTCCCTTAAACTCAGTTTACTCATCTGTAAAAAGAGTGGGTTGCACTATATACCCTTGGAAGTCCCTTCTAGTTCCAAATATACGATTTTATAATGTTAGATATTTAAGAAGAGGAAAAAATCCCTAAAACCTTTCTGTGTTTGTTTAAAAGTAACACTGATTACATCATTTATGAGAATGAATGCTGTTTATGGATAATTGCCATGTACACAATAACCATAACCAGACATGTCAGGCATAGGTACCAGATTAATTCTGTCCAGTCTATTGCCACATTGAATTATTTTTAAAAATTATTTGATTTTCAATTTATGGAATAAAGCAACTATTGCCACAATAACGTAGCATGCTAAAAAAGATTATTGCATATGAAACTGCAAGTGTACAGCTTGTTATTCCTTTTAAATTTATAATAAAGTTATCATTTAATTTTCTTTTTTCCCCTTTTTTCTTCCCTCCATTCCCACCCTAAAGATGGCTACCATTAGACACAAATATGTATGTGTGTATTATAAAAAATATATATACATATGTGTGTGTGTGTATATATATATGTATGTGTATATATATATATATATATATATATGATCATTCTGTACACATATCTAATCATTGATTCTTTCTCTGGGTGCAGAATTCTGTTCTGTAGAATTTATGTCTCATTATCATTCCTTGAAGAAGAGCAGTCATCTGTTCACAACCTCACACACAACATTTGAGGGGGAAGAGGAACCTCCCAAGTCCCAGCTCTGCATGAAAGCTCAATAAATACTGATTGATTGATTGATTGATTGATTGATTTCAAAAAAAAGCATACTGTACAAAATTGAGTCTATGTTTTAAAAAAATTCCTCTCTTTAGAATTATTTTCCCTTCTGTGTGATAATAATAATAAACAAAATAATAATAGCTAGCTTTTATATAGAACTCTAAAGTTTGCAAAGCACTTTATAGACATCATCTCCTTTGATCCTCACAACAACCCTGGGAGAGAAATGCTATTATGATCATCATTTTACAGATGAGGAAACTGAGGCAGAAAAAGATTAAATGATCTGTCCAGGATCACACAGCTAGAAAGTGTCTGAGGCAGAATTTGGACTTGGCTTTTCCTGATTCAAGGAGCTGCATTTTACCCACGGTACCACTGAGCTGCCCATCTCTGCCCATGAGATCGTTTTTGAAGGTTCCTTCCAACTTTAATGTTCTATAAGTCCAGGTTCTCACACTAACTAGCTATATGACTGTGACCATGAGCCAGATATTTAATTTCTCTGAGCTGTAATATCTCATCCCAATCAATATAACATGAAATAACACTTGAATCTCCCTCACAGGGTTATGAGGTGAGCTTTTCCCCCACCTAGCAGATAGACACTGGAAATACTTGACATATTGA